GCTAACCAGCCGCTCCTTTCAAAATAAAACGATTGATGGCGAAGTTATTCTTCCTCTCTCGGTTTACTGGAGTTTGTGAATTATTAAACAGCAATCTCTAAAAATAACTTCAGCTAATCCTTAATTTAACCCCGAACAAAGCACCTAACACCGTTATATAACTGCACGTTTTAGGTGTGGCGGCCGGAGATCCCTTAACTCGTCTCTTAATTTGAAAAGGTGAAACCATTCATTGACCAAAGGAAGTAAATTTAAACTTTATTTACACATTAATGTAAAAGATAAACAAGTATATTATGGAATTAATATATTTAAACATATAAGATATGTTTATACATTTTATATTTTCTATATATATGTTGTGTTAGATATTGTAATACCTCATTTTAACGTTCTATAATATTATTATTTCTATTTCTATTATTATTATTATTATTATTATTAATATTATTATTATTTCTATTTGCACCTTGAGCAACTGTAAGTAACAACCGCCAACCATCCATAAAGTATTTCTGATTCTGATTAAAACATATATATATTTAATATTGTGTGAATTTATGGATAAATAAGAAGTTTTTCTGTTTCTGGCCACCAGGTGGCAGAAGTTGCATTTGTAAAAGAAAATCCCACCAGATTGCTTTAATTTGTCTTTATTAAGTCATTTTTATTAATACATTTTAATATCAGAAGTAAATAGCCTTTACAGAGCAAAGATATTCATATGGAAACATCACAGTAAATGTTTAGATTCATTAATTCTCAGGAAAATATCAGAAGGATAAAACAAATGGATATAAAACACTTCCATAACAACCTCAGTTATTACAGGTCATAAAGAAAATCATCAAACAAAGCTAAATAAAGTAAAACTGTACTTAAAAAGGAAACTTAAAGCTGCACTATATGTTTTTTAAATTCTACAACAAATTCTTAAAGGTGTAAAGTCCTGGTGTCTGAATCCGTCCCGCAGTGGCCCGGGTTCGATTCCAGCCTGTCAATGTTAGGCTCCATTAAAGGAACAAAACCCCCCAAAATAAAGCTGCCAAAACCTTTTTTACTGTCTAATGTATGGAAGCCCAAAGAGTCCAATATTGAATACATAAATACAGATGCTGGAATTAAATAAGAATGAGCCATAAAATTATTTTATTGTGAAAAGAAGAAGCAGGATGGAGAAATAATTTCAGAATAATGAAGCATATTTCAAACATTACTGGATTTTTTCACAATTTAATGATTATTTTACATATTTTGTCTGTATTTATTACTATCATTGTTTATTTAAATGTGTCTTATTTATTATTTTAACCCTGAACTCTCCGGGGCTCCACACTAATGCAGCTTTAAGTGTCTCCATATTTTAATAAAACTTAATGAGACATTTAAGAACTAAAACATCGATCGCAACTCAATGCAAGTACCAAACACACAAACGTTCTACTGTTACTAAAACTGATTTCCGCTGCGTTTTTAAAGTCAAACTCTAATTCTTTTGGCCTTTTTTAATTAATTTTAACAAGATTTTCAGGCTTTTTTTTTAGGCGTTTAGGAGAAACCTCACCGGCAGTGTTGAACGCAGGAGGGTAGATATACTGAGGCTCAACTGGGGGGTTTGGGGCATCAAAACATTTAAGTTTTTAGGCAATTATTTCCCGACTTACTTCCTGAGCTCATGTCAGGCACTGGATACGTTAACGTGACATAAAACAAATGGATTCATAAAACAAAAATATATTTTGTTATTTAACATAAAAAGCTTTAAACATGCAGGACACAGTTCTCAGGATGTTCTCTGCTGTTAACGATGATCTGTGATCCTGGATCTGGTATCATTAGGTACTCGTACAGCCCACTCCCGGCCGATACTCGGGCGACGTTACGAAGTTCGTCACTGCAACGTCGTTTCCGATGCTGCTTTGAAAGATCAATACTGGATCGAGTCGTCTGCTTCAGATGTAACTTAGCAACCGCTGGAGAAGTTCGGAGAGCCTCTGGACGGTTTCAAAGTCATCGAGATGTGTTTTTAAGAGTCGTCTTTGTAGCAATTAGAAATAAATTTGGGGCGTATATGGATAGAAATGACACCATAATTAATCACAATCCATTAATTATCCCTTTAAAACACCACAATTAACATTATAGATGTTATAGCCAATCAAATAAAAATACTAATTTCTCTCCAAGAACTTTTGAATCTACTAAATAAAAAGAACTGAAACTATTCTTGTTATAAAATCCAAACGATTGGTCTTAAACAGATGTTTGTGTTTTTCTGTTGAGGCTGACAGGAAGCGGGAAAAAATCCTCCGGGATCACGGCGTCCGGATGCCGTTAGCGAGCGGAAAGCGGCTTCATCTGGAGGGAGTCGTAGGTGTCTTTGGTGGCCGTGCTCAGACCCTGAAGAGACGATAAAAGGTTGGTTGTTCCAGTAAATAGACCACACCTATGTACCAATATATGAAATATTCAGTTTATTGATCGGGATTGATGACTCACCTGGTACACCTGTTCGTTCTTTCTGTGACGCTGCTGGTTAATAAAGAAAATGTTAAAATTATAATAAATCATAATAAATCAGATAAATTCATAAATTCTACTTCTGTTCACTGAAATAAATCAACTGTAAAAAGAGAAAATCTAATTAATAAGTAATTCCAACAAGATTTTGATCATTTTAATGATTAATTTGAACTTTGTTTTGTTAAAGAAATAAAAATAATGCAGACTCACCTCTCGTTTAATAGGCAGCTCCTTGTATTCTCCCTCTCCCGGCTTTTTGGTCAAACCCTGAATATTAAAAAAATGACATATTATTTATTTACTGAAATGTTCTTTTTTACATTAATAACTCGACATTATGGATAAAACCTTACAAATCTTTAGCAATAATAATCTTATGTGTCGATTAAATTACTAACTGTTGGTAGGAGATGAAGTTAAAGTAAAGGAAACTGAAACGTTACCGTATAGGTGGAGTTGTCGTCCGCCGGTCTGCGGTTCTATAAAACAGAACACATTAGATTATCAGGAGTTTTAATAAATCAGGTTCTTTAATCATCTTTAGAACTTCTTTTAATAAAGCAGGAATATTTCAGGGTTCTCGTAAGACTTTGTTGAGGGTTCCTTTAATGTTTTTTGGTTCTTTCAAGGTTCTTTAGACCGGTTCGAAGATTAGGGTTCTTAAATCATCCATAGAACAGATTTTAAGGTTATTCAGTGAGACCTTTTCAGTTAGTTCAGGTATCTCAGTAGGATTGTTCCTGTAATGTTTTTGTGTTCTTTAAAAGGTTCTTTAGTGATCAAAAGGGTTCTTTAGGGTAATTTAGTCGTATAGTTTTTAAAAACAGTGTTTCTGGGTCCAATATACATTTATTTCAGGGTTCTTTTAGTTCGTTTCTGTCAAGGTTCTCTCAAATTCATATGCTAAGGTTCTTGTTTGTTTTTGGGGAAACTAATAAATGATCTAATGAATTGTTCTTTAATAAGGTGTTTTCAGGTTTATGTTTAAATTCAGGGCTCTACAGGGTTCTATCAAAAGTGCTTCAGGGGGATTTTTCAGTTTATTGTGATACTTGCAGGGGTTTATTGAGGTTCTTTAGGTTCTTTTGAGTTCACAGGGGCTCATGTTCATTATACAATAGGACCGGAAGGTTGTCGGTTCCTCAGTGATTGTTGTTTTAAAGTTGTTTTAATCTAGTTCATCAATGTTCTTTCCATGTTTTGCAGAGTTCTTAGTCCCACATTCATTCCACCATTATTTTATGGTTGTTTTGGGTTCTCTAGTGTGTTGGGGTTCTTACATGGTCGTCTCGAGTTCATAGGGAGTATAAAGGTTTTTTAAAGAGCTTTTCACTGTTTAGGGATCTTTTAATGCTCCTTGGGGATTCTCCATTTATTGTAACCATAATTGACACAGAGAACCTTGAGAGAACCGTAGAAAGACCTTATAGTTGCTGCTGCAGGATAGAGAACAGAGAGAGAACCGCTACAGGGAAGTAAAGACTCACTCTTCCTCTCTCAGGATCTCCTCTCATCAGGTGGTCGTAAGGATTGTCTCGGTTCTGGTTGTGCAGATCCTGAACACAACACAAATACTGAGGTTTTCTGTCCACATGAAATAAATACACCTCTGTTCATAGGTTCAAACAAGCTCTGTGCTAGAGTCTTGCTGAGAGTAGTAGATATTGGTTGGGCTGCACATGAACTCAGTTTCCATAATGTTCCATAAACAGTGTTAAAGAATAAGGAACTATTGACAACAGTTGATATTTGTTGTGTTTGGTGACTCACGCTGTAGATGCTCTCGTCTGTTGCCTTCGCTTTGGTTCTGAAGAACTAAAAACATCAACAAAAGAAAAAGGAGAAATCAGTGGTACGGCCCTTTAAATCTGAACTGTGGCTGAATTAGCCCTTCTTAAGCCCCGCCCCTTTTTTCTCTGTGCTCCAATCACAGTTGAGCAAAGATACATTTATATAGTCACATCTTATAAGTCTCTTTTATCTTTTAACCATCTTCAAAATGTGGTTGTCTTTTCAACATAGATTAGCTTAGCATGTAGCATATCTAAGTACAGGAAAGGAGGAAGTTGACCGAGGCGTGCTCAACTGTGATTGGAGCACAGAGCAAAAGGGGGCGGGGCTTATGAGGGGTTAATTCTGCTCTATTATTACTTTAATATTTTTTACGGTGCATTTCGGGTCCACTGACCTTCTCCCTGATGAACATGCCGGTGATGATGAGGCCGTACAGACCGAGGAAGCCGTCCAGGACGTAACACAGCTGAGGGTCGTACAACGCCAATGCCTCTGCAGAGGTCAAAGGTCACAGGTCACACACACGTACAGTGGATATGGATTCACAGATATTTACTGTTTAAGATTATTTATATTATAGCAGAGTTCACCTGTATTTAAAGCTCATTGTTTTACACTGTAAATGTCTTTAATTAAACATTAAAAAGACAAATTACTGTTGTTATTTTCTCTTATTTTGGAATATTAACGGAAGTGTTTGAATTCAGATTTCGTTTCATGACGGTGTGTTTTGTTTTTGCCGCCATGTAGTTCTAGGTGTGTTTCAGCGGCGGGACTGACGGGGTTAATGCTTATTGTGCACTGTGTGAATGTGTGTGATGAAAC